GCCGCACCTGTATTTATATATATAAAATAAAGGCTTCTTCTAAAAAATTTGCTTAAAAAAACTTTTCTATAATCAAATAATCGAACTATATATACATTGGCGTGCAAAGTTTCCGGCCAGTGATATTTTGTACTTTATAATTTATTTGAAGAAACCTGATAAAATTTTAATCATTATATTTAATCGATATATCGGCCAATAATGATTAAAATTTTATCAGGTTTGTTTTTATAAATTAAAGTATCAAACGTCACTGGCCGGAAACTTTTGTACGCCATTTGTACATACAGTTTAAAATATAATTATTTCAACAAGCAGTACGTCGAAAAGGAATCGAAATTTTTTCCATCGATGTTTCAGTGAGATGCGCCATATATGCATGCACCGTGTCGATGTGTTTTGATGGTATCAATATCGATTTGATATCGATTTGATATTAGCTTTCTCACTGGGTCTTTGACGTTATCGAAATAACTTAAATATTTAAATTAAGCATTTAAATAAAGATAATTTAATTACATTTCCTACTTTTGTTAACCTAGGTTTGGTCAGAATCGAGTTGATAGATCGATATTAAAAATGCCTCGAAAAGCCGCTGTTTCCACAGAAGAAATAATTGATGCTCTTGAACAAGTGGACATATTTCAAGATGCAGAAGGAACGCTTAAACCACGCTCCGACGAGGTTTGGAGAAAAGTATGCGTTTTATTGAAGAACAATATTAAAATTGTTAATCTATTCCTACGTGTACAACAAGATAGGAATGGCGTTTTAACTAAAATAAAGCAAAAGAAGAATATATCAGATAAGGAAATAATACGTGACATAACAGAACACGAGACAATCGATTCTTTTATGTCATTACAAAAATTAAAATATAATGTAGAATTTGCAAACATCATACGACAAATAACAGTGAATAAATTTTATTGTACGTATTGGTCGCCAATGCAACTCAAGATATATGAGGACATGAAAAGTCCTGCACATTTATCTATCTTTACCAATGCTACTGAATCAATAATTTGCAAATTAAAAAGACCTAATGGTCAATTCGGCGATATTTTTTTGTATCAAGGTGTTATTTCAGCTGAAACAGGAACATTTCCTGTTTTCCAAGCCCTTTCAGAGAAGCACGATGATAATATTATAACTTACTTTATAAAAGAATGGTTACGATCTGGTGCTTCTGTGCCACATGAAGTTGTAACCGATTTTTCTTTTGCTTTATTAAATGGAATTTCTTTAAGCTTCAACGAATGCAATTTGATAGAATATATAAACCGCTGTCTACAACTTCTTTCTGGCATTCAGACCACAATAAGATGCTACATTCGTGTTGATGTTGCCCATACGATAAGAATGGTGATGAAATGGAAATGTTTTAATGGTGTACGTCCACGCATTAAAGATTTTTATATACAATGTATTGGTCGTATGACAATTTGTAAATGTAACTCAGATTTTAAAAAAATGATGTCAGCCATTCTTATCGTTTGTTTAAGCGAATGTGATGATATTGAAACAGAATGTGATAAACAAGAAACCTTTCTTGTAAATGCTATTCAATCATTTTCTATAGGATTGAAACAAAAAGATACTGATGAGGCTAATATGGATATGGATAATGGTACGATAGAAATCGAAAACTTTGATGAGGAGATTAATCATGATTTTTTTCATTTAACAAAGATTTTCGATAATGCTAAATTAATAGCTGAGAACACGCGTACATTGAAACGGCCCAATCCTTATTATATTCCGGAATTCGCGAACTCTTTCATGCGATTGTCTCGTTACTATGTCTTATGGACAAACGTGATGTCGAAATATAGTAAGACGAATTGTGATGTAGCATCTTTCGCAAGATCAGAAAAATATTTTAATGAAATTAAAAATATTGTATTGTGCGATGATATTAGACCTCTTAGGGTCGATAAATTTATTATGAAACATATCCGCTCAATTGAAGCAGCATGTAAAATTCAACGTGCTGCTTCTAATGCTACTTTAAATGAAAATAAAAATACTTAATACCAAATTCACAAAAAGAAAGAAAGAAGGGTGAGAATGTAATGGATTATAATAAAATCTAGCAACTATCTTGAGATATGACTTAAATTGTTTATTACATACAATATTCAACACATGATATTCAACGCTAACAAATGAGAAAGATTTAGGATGAGAAAACAGATGTATGCCTTCAAATTCCCAATTTGCAGCATGTAATTTTCTCTCTTTTGTATGTCGAGTAAACATTGTTAAAATTTTGTAAGAGTCCACATTCTCTTTTCTCCGACGCGAATCTGTAAATATCGTACTCTCGCTTAAGTCGTTCAATAAGTATTATCAAAATTGCATAGGAATAGATGGATCTCGCAAGCGTGCGAGAAATAATGAGTGCCAGAATAGGAAGCGAGAACAGAAAAAATGGTCATACAATTGAGAAGAAAATTATTATCCCGCAATAATATGAGCAATTTTAATAATCTCGTTTTACATTATTCGATAGACTAATAAAGAAAAGAAAAGGTTTTACGCGAGAGCGAGGAAATTGAAAAGAAAATATTGTCTTTGCTTCACATTTCCTGATGTTAGAGGAGGTACGAAGAATTCTGCACTTGTATCATGATTAAGTTCGCGCCATAATAATTGCCATATTTTAAACACGGACATAATTACGAGGGAGAAAAAACCGTGTCGACGAAATAAGCGAAATAAAGTGCCTCCATAAGCTAATAAGAAAAATATTTGATATTTTTGTAAGTAAACATATTTTCGTGTTTAGTATATAAGTTTTATAATACATTTGCTCGAAGATATACTTCAACAAAATGCGAGAATGCTTAATACTCTTCTCATATTATATATTATTATTATTATTATATTTTGTAGTTGGAGAATTTCGAATTCATACGTTAGAAATGATTTCAGAAATGCGTCTCGAAGTGCCGAAGAATTATTGTAGCAAATGTATATTAAGCTAATTGAATGTTGTAAGCCCTTTCAGGGTAGGTTCCTGTATTGTCAATTAAATATAGTATTTTTTCGCGTATCTTGTGTGTGTGTGCTTTTTATCCAAAACTAAATAACTTATACTAACTAAAAGTTACTAATATAAATTTTTAGAGATTTTATTTCTGAAAATAAATATTTTGAGATATTTATTCCATTGCAAATATAAAATTACAATTTATAGCGTTATATGTGCAGTGTATTTACATAATCAGTTGCAGAATCTTGTATAAATCATGTATCTAAATCAAAAATTTCCATAATATTCTAAGGATGACAGCTAATAAGAGCATCGTAAACGTCACTATTCCATATTTCGATGGGTTTTCGTAGGGTAATCTGGAAACAACGCCTTGCGGTAGAGGAGACCTCAGTGCCGGAGACACACCTTTACCGATCGGTTCTCCCTTCATAGAGAACTTCGTCGCTTCTATAATCCTTACGTCAATCATTTTTCCCATGTACTCCTGCTTCAGCGGAATCAACACCTGTTCGTAGAATTTGTTATGACCCACGTAATGCTGCTTATCATGCGATACCTCCGTTACTAGCACCTCCTGTATCAGCCCCACTTTGTGTCCGTATGGTTCGTACGACTGGAAGAATTTCGACAACTTCTTGGTTCTTGTTTTCACTTTTTGCGCAGGTACCTTCGGCATCCTAGCGGCGGGCGTGCCAGGTCGAGAGAAGAACTGATTGATAAAGAGACTTGGGAACTTGTACTTTTGACAGAGTGTCATCGTCTCTTCGAAATCCATCTCTGTTTCCGTGGGGAAACCGCAAATAATGTCTGTTGCGATAGTCAAACCAGGCACTCGCTCGCTCAGAAAGTTTACTACATGCTCGAATTCGGCACATGTATACTCCCGCTTCATGTCAGCTAATACCTGATCACTGCCGGACTGTACCGGAATATGTAGGAAGCTATAGACCTTAGGATGCCGTAGAATCTTGGCCATTTCATCCAGATGTTCCAAGATATATGGTGGATTGGTCATACCGACGCGCATCATGCAACCGTCAGGAATCACATCTACCAATTGCCACAGTAGTTTCGACAAGCTAGTGCCAATGTCCCTACCATAGGCACCTGTATCTTCCGATGTGAGCCACAACTCACATACACCCTCCTCGAAAGCTTGCTTGGCTCGTTCGATTATCTCTTCTGGAGGATAACTACCTAGTTCACCTCGTGCATGTTTTGTCTTGCAGTAGGTGCATTGATTCAAGCAGCCTGTGTTAATGGCTATAATCTCGATAAGCGGATTTCGGCGTACCTTTGGAAGATTCAGTGAAGCTCCGCCTGTCTTCTTACCAAGATCCTTCTTCTGCTGTAAGAACCTGACTGTATTTCCTTTCAAAGTTTCTTCCACAACTTCTACTACTCGATCAATTTGTTGTACTCCAATCACACTCAATCCTTGAAGGAAGGAAGATTTTGGAGCACCTTGTGGTACACATCTATAAGATACAAATAAAATGTTTAGAATCTTGACAGCTCTAAATAAGTCTAAAAATTAGAAAGTTCACAGTACTGCTAAAATTCTATACTAATATTTAATTAAATACATGCATCAGATAACAGAATTTGCAAATAATGACATTACATTATAATGCATTATCAAATCCTTGTTCCATCATTACAGTTGCATAATTACATACCCAGCAACTACAACGTGCTTGCCAGTTTTCTGTCCATACTCTATTTCATTCCTAAATTGATTTTCTGCAGGACTCTTCACAGTGCAAGAGTTCAAAAGCCACAAATCCGCTTTCAGTTTATCTTCGGTCAAGTTATAACCATACGACGCCAATTGACCGGCCATATATTCGGTGTCCGAACTATTGTGCGTGCATCCCCATGTTTTCACATAAATCGTTTGCGTACCGGGTATTATGCTTGACAAGATAGACGGCTGCGATATTTCCTCTTGCAGCTGCTTCCTTCGTTTGGGTCGTATCGTGATATGTTTTCGGATCGATTATGGAGCAAATCTCGCAAACCGTACAGTCCTTTCTGCATTGGAGCAAATCTCAATAGAAACTGGGATTTTGGATGGAATAGTAAGTATTTAGTGTGAATAGAGAAGATTATAATAAATAATAGAAAAGAGTTATCGAAAATTAAAATTATTTTGGAAGCTTGAAAAGTTTATAATATTGAGATTCATTCGACGTAACATTGTAACTTTACGTCTTCAGGTTCTGATGTCAGCAAAAATTCTTGCAGTGATACTTACCCTGGGAATAAAGCATTCTCAGAAATAGAAACGAAAACTATGTCTGAATATATAAAATCTCTGAACGACCAATTGTACGCATATATCGCGTTCCATAGTTACGGCCAACTATTAGTGATTCCTTATGGTTATACAAATGCACATATCTTCAACTATGATCATTTGGTAAAAAATTTTATTAGTAAAGAAGTATTGTCTTTGAAATATATATATTTGTGATAAAAGGGAAATATTGTTTTAAAACATTTTCATGGTCGTATATGACTTTTTGCATTAAACACACATTCTAGTTGTTCACTTTTTAATAACTTGTAGTGCTATGTCTGTGTTTATATTTCCACATTTAATGTGATAATTAAATTCTATAATAGGGATTAATGTAATGTTTGCAATTTCAGCATAATATCAGCTTGAAAGGAATCAAAGCTCTTAGACAGAAATATAACACTGTGTATAGAACCGGAAATATTGGCGAGCTTTTTAGCAGTATGTGAATACTTTAATTTATATCTAACGAATAATTTATCGCGTTTAAAAATTATCTTATAATCGTTTCTTCATAACAGTATTAACAAAAATAACTTTACAATAATGTTTTATTCTTTCTTTGTATACAAGGTATTTTAGAACCTCAGACAAACTTCAGATAATGGTAGATCTCATAAAAAAAAGAGCTTTTATTAAAGTGCTTGTGTTCTTCGACATATTTTTAAGAAGCTATTTGTCCTCGTTTGAATTGGTTATGACTTATGAGATACGGAATCGATCGCGTGGCAGCATTGCGCGTGTTGTCTGACAATACTATAGTCCAAGTTTTTACTTTATTTGCCTTTTTGTAAAAACGGAATCAAAAAACATAAACTTATCAGATGTCATATACGATCAGATGAATAGCTTCTTAAAGATATATGTCGGAGAATCTGAGTTCCTTAAACAAAGTTGATTCTTTTGATTGAGATCTACCATTTCCTGAAGTTTGTGTTTGAGATTCTTGTTTGAGAAACACCTTGTATACATACATATATGTATATATGTGTATATATGTGTATATATGTAAAATTAACATATACTTGTTATATTGTTTTATTAAATTAAATTAAATTATATTGCTTCTTATAACTAATATAAAATATAATCGTTCCTAGATTTGTCGAGCGGTCTTAGTGTAGATTACATGGCAGGTGTTTTAAATAAATCCGTCGTCTATCTCTACAAATTGCGCGATAAGAATGAATACGGCTTCTTGTTACCACCTGAGTACATCATTCCGACTGGAGAGGAGACTCTAGACTCTCTTGTAGCTATGTTTAACTAATCATGTCATCTTGACTACGCTAAAAATAATTAAATTTGTATAATTTATTATCATCGATTACATATTTTTATTTGATAAATATCGAATATTACATTTTCATGTAATATATGAATGAATAATGTCAAATAGACTTTGATTAATACTTGTACTTATTACTAAATTTCTAATTTTCTATGCTTTTGTCATTATTATTAGTAAAATAGATCGAATCTTATAAAATTCGATCTATTTTTTTATAATATTGCTTCTTGACATTTTTTATTAGAATTATTTATTGTACATAATTCTTAATTTATTTACTTTAGTACTTTCAATAATACAATATTTACAATAATAATTTTTGTTTAAATCAACATATACATAAACTGTTTCTGTTTGCAATAAATTAGGAATGTCTTCTTTGTACAATAATTTGCAAATTATTTATATAGATGTAATGTGTGTAATTATTATTTTTAAGAAGATAATAGAATAGTTTGGTTATATAAAAATAAACTTGTATTAATAATTACCAATA